CAGTGACCCTAATTTTAGGAGGAAAACATTCCTTCAGCTGCATTTACAAGTGAAACTGGAAGACCACTAAAACTCCCATCCATTCTTAGCAGCACAAAGGGTTAATGAAAATTCTGTATTTAGACTACCCCAAATAATTTTAAAGGATCCAAAGGCAGGTGGAACCACTGTGGCAGGACATCATTTGTTTTAGGGTTGAATGGGAGGGGATCACCAGCTGGAAATTTGTTTCCCTAACGTTCTCCAGGATAGATTGTTTGTATGGTTCTCTAGGCACATGCAGATGTTCCCAGGAATTGATCTATGATCATGTGTATTGCTTTAAGCCGTGTGATTGTAGATCAGGTCCCAGTTGTTCACACAATTGCCAGTACTAATTGCTGCATCAAGAACATGATTTAAGTAAGATGGGGTGGGGGAAGAGGCTTAAGGGGTGGGTGTGATTGGGGAGGGGGGAATCAGTGAGTCTGCAGGCGGGAGGGTTTGGTGGCTAAATTAGCTTGGTCAGGGTTTGGGGGGAGCAGAGGAGGGATAGGAAAAGTGCAGCCCCTGTACCACCTGCAGCTAGCTTAGGCATGGGTTACTCAGGTAAATTAAGTTTAGATCAGGCCAGCCGTTTTTTTTTTGCCTGATCTAAATTCCCCCAAAAGTATGCACAGTTCACCACTTAAATCACTCTAACTAGGGTTTGGTTGATCTAAGTGTAATGTCTGCATGTACCCCCTATCTCCCAAATAAGTCTGTAGATTAAAACATAATAGCAAAGGGGAAAGGATTACATGTTAGTAGTTAGAAGTCTACATCTGTCCATGTTTGTCCTGTGGGTTGTTTAAATCCAATTGAGTTCAGGATTGTATATGCACAGTATCTAAACTAAACGTTGCTGTTACCAATTGGTCTTCAGCTTTTAAAGCATTTGATATTCCAGTAATTGTGGAGGTGGAGGAAGGACATGAATTTCTCAGAAAGCATGACCTTTTTGCTCTTTCTTATTTGGGGGAAAGGTGTAGCCAATGCCCTTATTTGCTTCACTATTTATATAACATGATTCTTGATAGAGAGGGTGGATACTCAACACTCTTTGTTCATGTTTTCTCAACCTTATTCAGGAAGTATGTGGTCTAGGAAATATCCCACAGTAGTGTAATTCTTCCACCCCCAATTTGATAATTAATTCTCATAGCCAGCAATTAACATTATTTACAGTAGAGAAAGTATGTTTTAGTCACAAGGGAGCGGACTATAAGGCCTTTAACCCTAAGTGCTACATTTACAGTGGGGTAATAATAGGTCAAACTGTTCATTGATGTAACTTGGCACAATGCCAGGCACAAAAAGTTAGTTCTTCAATGTGGCACCACCTGGAGTTGAGCCAAGTTATACCTGCAGAGAATTTGGCTCCAATGTCATATGTTAGGAGTGACTTCTTGAAGCACCTTTTTACAACCCATTCCTGTTTACCTTCCTGGCCTATTCTTAGCACCTCTCAGAACTCCCTCACTGGCTTCAGTTCAACTATTTGCTCTGGCAGTTTCTTGGTGAATTAGTCCACCTCTTCACTGGAAGGCTTATAACAGGGCTCTCAATATGGCAGGCAGTGATCGCACCCTTTCCTGAGGGCTGTTTGCTTTGATACATCAGCCACAACATAAATCGGTCCCTGTGCCCTTCATCACTTATCTCCAGCTAAGCAACAAAAAATATTACAATTTCTGAGTGAATTAATGCTTATGAAAAATCTTGAATCAGTAGCATAACTAGGAGTGGGCAAATGGGGTATCAGCCCCAACTGCTGACCTAAAAGGGGCATCAGAATGATGGACCTTGCACAGGGGCAGCAGCAGATATCTGCGTGTGGGGAACCTGCACGATGACAACAGCAAGTGTGGGGAGCTCACATGGTGACAACAGCTCCTGTGTTTGTGTTTTCAGAGTCAGGTGAGAGTCTCTGGTGCTTAGTGCAACACCCCCTTCCGCCCCTCTCTCTGAGCTTCTCTGCCCAGGATACCAAAATTGCTAGTTATGCCTTTTGTCTTGAATATACTGTACTTGATAACAAAATTGTTTGTGGTATTTTCTTGTTGTTTATCCACAGAGGCAGTTCAGCATGCAGAAGTCTACCCAAACCCCCTGCAGTGTGACTGGGATTGATTAGTTCCCTATTTCTAAACATGTGAATGCAAGCAATAGTAAGGTCTAACGTTTTGGGGGGAACAGGTGGCCTGGCAGCCTAAGCAGCAAGATCTTGATCCAGCAAAGCACATAAGTGGATGCATCATTGGAAGCAAATGAGTAGCACTGCTGAAGTCAATACAAACATAAGTGTTTTGGGAATTTGGGGCTCAGTCTTTGTATGTCTAGACAACTTGAAGCAATAGGTTCAAACTTCTGCACAAGTCTGCACAAGTGTCTAAGACTATTTATTCCACCCTACTTAAGTCCCTGGAAAAAAACAGACAAACAAACAGGTGACTGTTTCCTTGCTGCAACTTGGTTTGTAGGCTGAGATGAAAGTGTGTTACAAAAGTCCACATGTTACTGGATTTCCAGAGACTTGAATAGATGTGATAGTATCTTATTCAGAAGCTGAAGTGCTACTTTGACACCCAAGGCTAATAGGATCTGTCCCTATATCTCTACGGTAGATAAACAGAGAGCTTCTGAGGTGTAGCAGGGCAAGTAAGCACCTGGGGCAGCTGCTGACGCATGGAGCAGTGCTGGCTTCTGCCATGCCGATTGCTGAAATGCGGTCAGCTGCCACTATGGCAGTAGCGGCTGCTTTTAAACACCACCTGTCACCCCTGAAAGGTGGTGCCTGGGTTTGCTGCCCCTGTCATTACCCCTCAGTTAAGCTACTGGAGAGCTATATACCTACAGAACAGTATAATTAATCTGCCACTCTCAGGGCAGTGCATATAGTAATAGCAAATGATCAAATGGGGGCCAATTATTAGGAGATAATAATTGAGGAGGATGGACAATGGCAAGGAATTGGAACAGCAGCAACTCAAATCACAACACCAACCTATTGTGTAGGAGAATTAACTAGAGTTTACTATAGAAACTTGTGGATAAGGTTCAAGACTTATAGTAAGAGGGGAGCAAGAGCTGATACTCAGACTGTAGGAGGGCTTCAAAAGATTCCTGCAGTTCCTTTATGAAACTTATTGTCTAACTGGAAAGAGTAATAAGCCTTAAACTATTTGAGATAGCCTGCTATCAGATACAACTAGATTGGCTTTGGAGAATGAAACTCTAAACCTAAGGAACAATGAGTTTTACAGAAACTGCCCTGATGAGCTGTCACCGATGTTTGCAGAGGTGCCTAAAGGAATTTTCTACATTTTCCATCTGCATGTTTGCGTGTGCTAGTCTAGTTAGCTACTGCCTTTTTGTTTTACTCCACATTATTTACGAAGACTATCAACTATGATTTATCACAAACCCACCACCAGCTGATTGGACATTTACTTGCCATGCAGGGGAGAAGGAATGCTGCCTGGTGGTTGTTCACCAACTACTCAGTGGTTAAAGTGGTCAAAGGAAGAATGTATCCATATATGGGTCAGAAACCAAAGTGGCATCTTCACTGCTTGTCTGGGTGTTGTGAGCTGAATGCACATTCCTTGAAGAAACACCTCTTTGAATTCTTATGGGAAACAGAATTAAATTATCTGGGATGGAATGCAGTTATGTGTGTTCTAGTAAATGACAGACCAGGAATAACACCTATCTGGCTATGTACACACCATTCAGTAAGCTAAACGATGATAACGTGTTATAGTCTACTATATACTTACAGAGTTAATGTGTTGCATAGCTATCATTGCTACACTATCAGAACTTCAAGGAGATGTCTATTTAGGGAATGTGCATTTAGCTCCCAACTCCTGAACAAGCAGTGTAGTAGTAGTTTTTTGGGGTTTTTTTAACAGATTTTGCCAACACAAAACATTAAATAGGCAATAAAAAGTATATATAATTTTTGCTCAGAACATGCAGTAAGATTATCCATTCTACCAGCTGACAAAAATTAAAATAGAATATAGTGTATTATAGCATAAAAGAAAAGATAAAATGAAGGTGTAAAATAGAACTCTCGTTTTTGTTTTAATGTTGATTTTTGGCCCTTATACTTAGAGCAAGTAATGCAAATACATCTAATGAGTATAAGACAGGCTCTGAAGTGTTAGAAATAAGCCAGATTTTGATAGTGGCTTCCCCGCCTTCCTTTATTAGCTCAGTATTTAAAATTTCCCATTAATAGAGAGATCTGTTTCCTTTTTTAATACTACCAAAACCAAATCATTATTTGTGGTCTTAAGTCATCTACTTTATTTTTCCTATAAGAGCATGTTCTGTCTGAATAAGGGGTCTGAAATCACTTGTCATAACAACCGAAGATCTCATTGGAGCGAATCACAATCTAGTATTGGTCTTTCATTATTAGTGACCAGCTGTGAAGATGTCATTTTGGTTTTTGACCCATGTATTAATACATTCTATTTTGATGAATATTTAGGAAGAAACTTCTATCACAGCCAACTAAATATCTGAAAAAGCCTGGCAGGAATTTAGGGTGCAAGTCCCTTCCCAAGAGTTAGCATACCTCTGTTTGTACTGACCTTGGTGGAAAGAGAAGTGAGTCAATGCTGAGCACTTTTTGGTGCAGACTTTCTATCATCATCTTATTAAAAAAAAAAAAAAAATTCCAGAAGTGTCCAGCAAACTAAAAGCATGGGGTATGGTGAGAAATATTAGAGCAGTTCTGATAATTAAGCCGCAGCCTGGCACTGGATATGGTTTTTGTTTGAGCAGCTATCATTATACATATTTAATTTCCCCCCTCCAGAATTCATATATAGCTTGGAAGGGCTAAACTTTTTACTTTCAGCAAGATGTTCTGCCAAGTAACTGATGGCAAAACAGCCATAAAGAGTAAGCAGTCTTATGTGGCTGGAACATCTCTGCCTCTAAACATTGCCAGCTTCAATACTCACTATTGTGTTTGAAGACTCTGATGGTGGCACCTGAAAGTCTTGCACCAAGAACGAGAGATGTGTGGTTCAACTCATCACTTAAAATGAGGCATCCCTGTGGAGAAGGATTACAGAATTTTCAGAATCCCGGGTGTATATCACATGACTGACTAACCTGCAACGCTTAAATGTGAAGTGGAACATTTCTTGAATTTGGGGATGCTTGCACTCCACATTCTGTGCCACACACATATATAGATCTCGGCATCAGATTCTTGCATGTTCTCATGTCATGCAAAGGTGCTCAATGCTCTTTGTAAGTAGCCAGAAGTGACTTACGAGGGGGGAAGTAATATTGTAAATTCAGTGGAGCTGGCTCCCGTATCAGTGGCCTCTACTTCTTGGTGTGTTGTGGGAGAGATGCAGGTGGTGTAAAATCCCAGACAGGACAGATGCTAGTGAGGAAATAAACTACTGTTCATTAGGTTTTATTAAACTTATACTGGGATCTGCGGAGGAGGCATATTTACCTATACCAGCATTCCACCTCTTATGTGCCTGAGCAGAACTTGGGCACAGGGGAAAATGAGTTCGTCTTTGGTACACATAGGAACAGATGTGCATGCGTGCACATACACAGCAATAAGGACTTTTCATCTCGTACACATATGTACATACATGAGCACACATACTTTTCATCTCCAGCAATTTTTATAATTAGCAACTAGTGAAATACGTATTTTCCTTTCAAAATCCCCAAATACTGCATGAAAAATTAAAATTGCCTCCTATATTATATTAGCAAGAGCCATAAATGGAGTTTTCAGATTCAAAAATGGAACTCTAACTTGATTCTGCTTTCATTATTGGCATTATGGTGTGGCCTTTTGTTACATGACCACAGTGCAAAAGCAGCATTAAGTAAATATTTGTTTTGGAAATTCAGATTAATTAAATAGAGGTGGAGAAGCATTTCATAGATTTAAGGGCTATAATCTACTTTGGGCTCTGCACAGAGAAGTCAGGCTGAGTAGCGGGAATGTCCAGCCACAACTTTTGATTTTGGAGGTAAACTTAATGCACATGTAGATGTGTCCTGCATGTTCTATCTGCTCCAAAAGGGGATACAGGGTATTGGTCTCAGTCATATCCAAATCAAAAGTGGGGACCAGTATCATGTGCTGACAGCCAGAACACACTGTTATATATCAAACCATTATCAGACAATCTTTGTAAAATATTCCAAATTTTGGACTTTCTTTGTAATGTTGTTGTTTTGAGATCTGTGTCACACAAATACAGGGCAATGGCAGTTCTCACTTCCATACAAAAACTGAGCCTCATTTTCTCTTGCATCTGTTATGTTGGTGTGGCTCCATGTCAGGTTGTTCCAACTTACATCTACGCCAGTGAGAGAAAATCAGTCCCACCATTTAAACCTTACAACCTCACAGTGACATGGGAGGCAATCAGAATTCATATTTTAGAGAGGAGTAAGCTGAGGCCTTAAATATCATGGTGACAGGTGCCATAGCAATAACCACTATTGCTAGACAGATAGAATGATGAAATGGCATGCCCAGGGTTATGGTGATCATTATTCTGTAACTCAGAAGATCTTGGTATTTAATTTTATGCTTTGGCTCAATATCTTTAATGACAGAATGAAATACTATGATTGCAGATGAGATAACTAAGAGACAATAGCTCTACATATTATTTAAGATGTACTCACCCTCCCAACCAGAGCTGGAATGTTCATAGAGTTAGTAGCAAAGCCCATGCCAAACACCAGGGCATCTTCCACACCAAGAAACTGGGCCACCAGGTTTTCTAGTTCTATGTGTTTGTCAAGGTTCCCTGTATGAAGAATTACAAAGCATTTTAAAATCTCCTTTGAATATTAGGCTTTTCATTTCAAACAAATAAAACAGTGTGGAAATATGCAGTTAAATTACACGGATATTTCAGATCTGAAAAGAATTCCCATTTGCATCTTGCACATCTGAGGCAAAGTACAAAAGACAAGGATACAGATGAATTATAATTCATGTTAGCAGGTGACCAACTGCCAGTGTTAAGAGAGCATGTTAGCTTCCAGCAAGAGCTCTTGGACTCGAATAGCAACAGCTTTTGGAATCCCCACCTTTTAGATTTTATTTTCTATATTTCTTAAAGAAGAATTCTGCTTCAGAAAGAAAGTTAGAAAGAAACACCTTTGTTTTCAACTGCCAAATATCCTGGTTGTGTAAACGAAACAGCAGAAATCACTTTTCCCATTGTATAAGAAAAATTCTTCTACCACACTTCAGTAGAAATAACAAATGTTTCTCCCATGACATTTTTCAGAAATCTCTTTGCTGCTATTGATATTTAACAGAAAGAATACATTCCTCCTTACCCAAGTGCCTCAATAAGATGCAGAAGTTATGGCAGCAAGTAAGCCATCATTATGATAATTTCTTATTTACATGACCCTTATATCTATAGGCCCAATCAAGTATCAGAGTTGCAACTGTGTCAGATGATGTATAAACAAAACTAATGGTTACTGCCCTACAGGTTCATAATCCACAATAATGACAAAATACAACAGGGATCAGACCAGAGTCTGGGGTGGAAGAATGAGCAATTTTACACTGAAATTAGTAGTCACTTGCCTACTTTCTAGGGGGGTTTTCAGTTGGTAGTGCTCCATAGACACCAGTGAACAGGCAAATCTGTAGTGGCAGTCTGAAGAGTAAAAGGAGGTGGTATCCCAACAGTTGTCAGTTGGGGTGGTGTCCTAATAGTGGTCAGTCATCTAACAGTGGTTCTTCCTGTTCTACTTTTTTAGCTCTTAGAGGAAACAAAAAATGACAGCGGCCTTGTTACTACTTGCTTGTGTTTATTTTCCTGCATGATGAAATAAATATCTTGATATTGACCCATCACTTACAAATTGCATATCCCACAGAAGAAAACAGATGTCAACAAAATGCAATCACTCAATGATGGCTTATGAATCCTAGATTGCATATCTTTGTAAGACCAAAACTTGACTTGTAAGGATTTGCAAAACTAGCCCTCGCTTTTACACATCTTTAATTATAATGGAAGTACTGTAGGTGGTAGGTGAGGTATTAAAGAAGACGTCTGTTATGTAGGTCAAATATTTTCTGTGGGAAGCTAGTGATCAGTTCATACAAAGTAAAAGAGCAGAGCTAATTAACCTACACCTTTATGTTCCTCAGGTTTTAAAATAAAGATATCACATTGACTTAAATTTATAATTTAAGTACTTAATCATCTTGGATGATTGGTCCAGCATGGGAGAATACCCAGGCAAAAGACAACTACACAAGTTATATGTCACCCCTCCCTCTCAAGGACCCAGTGAGGAGGTGGGTCTGGGAAAGGTTTGCTTTGTGCACCATGGTATTTTCGCAATGCCTCGGAAATCGAACATTTCCTTAAGGGCTGCTGCCAGCTGGTGCAAGTATGGTTGACTGCTGCTTTGTCTGATACATGGAGATTGGAATCAGAGACTTCCAGAGTCAAGCATGGACTGCTACATCTTGTTCTAAAGATAAAAGCAACTTGGCAGGCACGGAGGGGAACCACCTTTATAACAGGTCTGTGTAGATATAAGGGTTTGCAGAATGCACAACCCCTCTGGGTTTACAATATAGACTAGTAGCATCTATTGTTAAGCATTTGTAATGAATGTTCCTTAGTGAGCGATAATGAAACAAGAAAGCATCTAAAAATATTACCTGATTATGCTGATTATGATCTGATGAAGAATGCCTTGCATTTGAAAGCCCGTTTAACTCCACCCCAACTATACAGTTGGACCAATACAAGATATCACTGTAAGAAATCATCACCTCTTGCATAAAACTATCAACTCCTTTTACTAAGAAAAAAATCACTGGGTAACAAGTAATAAATGAAAACTGTACCAAAAAATATTGAGAATCTCAACAAATACACTATATTGTTCCTCGGTGGAGGACACATCATAAACCAGTGATGCACAGTCCTTGAGAAACCCTAGTACTATAAGTCCATGAAAGAGAAACAGGAAAAGTAGCTTTTCCTGGACCCCTCCACTCTGATTTTAGGTTGTATTACCCTGTAAACAGTAAAGAGTGACCAGAAAAACTTCCCACTGTGGTCACTCTCTGGTAGAAAGCTGCTCCCTTCTTTACAGAGGCTTCCAGCAGAACTGAGTCTATCCTGGACTTTTCTCAGGCTTCCAAATTACACTTTGACACTTGGGGGGGGGAATCTGCAAAAAAAATTGGGCTGCCCATCATGATGCCCTAAGAAAATTGTATACCTCCCTAGGTTATGACTTTCAAATCTTACCATGGGGGGTTCTCATCTCTTATGGGCGGGGGGGGGGGGGCCCCCCCCCCCCCCCCCAGCTCCCCCATAATTCAAACCCTAACTTTTCTATACTTACAGATGCTGGTGCTAGGGTCATATTTTTTCACTGGACATACGTGGTACACCTAACATGGCTGCCATCCATCACCATATCCCCACTTAGCATGTTCAAGAGAGTCTCACTCACATTCCTAAGATGAATGCAATATCTGCCTGTCGCTCCACTGGGCAAGCTCAAATTGCATTTTGAAAAGTTCCCTCTGACAGTAGAAGAAGGGTTACAATGACATGGGACAGACCTATACCAGGATCAGAAGAGCACAATGGTGTCTCAATGGGACATTCTTCCCACCCACCTGGCTTCTCTGATGCATGAACTGATTGCAGCTCAGCCTCACCTGAAAACTAGAGACATCAAACACAACCAGGCAGGTGAATTAAGCTCCGGTTAGTGGAGGGGGAGGAGGAGGAGAAATCCATCAGCAAGCTAGAAAAGAAAACCCAAATTTTCTCCTTTTATTGTTCCCATCTTGGAAGCAGTCATATAGCATGTGGAAGGAGACATGGTTATTGGGGTCATGGATCAGATTGCATCTCACCATTAATTGGTTATCTGCCAGAGGCCTTAGAAATGTGAATGATACATTATTTTTACTAGATTTTTTTTAAAACTTGTGCTTTGTATCAAGATCTACTGAGAATGCAAAATTCAAGTAAAATGCACAAAAATAAGATATGAATTAATTTTATTAGATATATAAAACTACCTTATTTTCTTGCTTATCTTAATGCTGTTCCATAACCTGGGGAGGAACCCTCCCCCTCCATAAATATCTGAAAAACTGCATCGTTACTGTCCTTTAAATTCTTCCTTAATACCTCTCCCCTACCCTGACCTCCCTTCGCCATGAAGCCCATGGACAATTTGTGAGGTTCCTGATGTGCTGAGACGAGGCTGTATCAAACTGATCAATATTTTTCACTATTTCTCCATATCCTTTCATAGGTGCATTTTCACCTGTTGTCTCTTCTTTTTATATTGTTAGGTCTTTGCAGTAGGGATGTTTCATTTTTTTCTGTTTGTACAGGCCTTAGCTCTTAAAGCACTCGCACATGTGCCCCAAGGGTGGGTGGGGGATGGCGCTTTAATTAGAACGGCTCCGAGACCCACTTTAATGGAAGCACCGCTGTGTCTCCTGTATCAGTGTCCCCGAGCTAAAAAATGGTGGCAGGGGTGCTTGAACTAAAGCTTGTTTGATAAGCTTTAGTTGAAGTGCCCCTGCTGCCATTTTAAAATACGGGAATGCTACACAAGATGCAGGAGGCGGCTGGACTGTGGCAACTGCAGCATGTTGGAGCAGCCTTGGTGCTCGTTGTCACAGCGGGGTCCTACAGGAGGGCCGTGATCTCCTTAAGGTCCCTCTCACCATGTCAAGGCCGGCCCAAGGGCACCCTCTTCTTCTCGCCTGCCACGTCTTTGATGTTCAGTATATGTTGGGAGGCTGCCTTATACCGCCTTGGGCACAGGGTATCGGGACCTCTGTCCCCGCAGTTTTCCCGGACCCTTGTGCTCTCCCCGATGGGGCCTCCTCAGGCACCCTAGCCTTAAGGGCTACGCGTGGCTCCTACCAACCCCTAATACCACGCCCCAAGCCTCGCAGATGTACTGGATGTTGGTCTGTCATCATACATGCCCGCTCTCCCGGGCCTTCTCTAGTGCCGTCCCCTCTCTGGGGCCTTCTCTACATAGGGCGCTCCCCTCTTCGGGGCTCACCGTGCCCACCTTGGGCTTCCCAAAATGCTGCCCCCCTTCATGGGGTTCGTCACGCCCGCACTGGGCCTTCTCAGTTGTGCCCCCTCTCTGGGGTCTCAGTGCCCTTTCTGGGCTTCCTCTAAAAGTGTTGTCCCGCTCAGGGACCCTTGCCTGCTTTGGGACTCTATATTGAGCCTCTGGTCTCTCAGGCCCACCGCACTGCTTCCCCTTTTCCTGGACGCTGTACCGCTATCCTTTTCCTGGGGTCCACCGCAGCACCCTGCCCTTCTCTTGGGTTTTCTGCAGTGCTAGCCTGTTACCAGGCTCGTCATGCCCGTCCTGGGCTTCTCACATATTGCCCCTCTCGGGCTCTTTCTGGGCCTAGGGTCTCCGCACCCCACACCGCTGTGCCCTGACTGGCGCCTGGATCCCCCACGCTACTGTGGGTCTCCTATGAGAATACTGCACCTTCCCAGGTGCTAGGGGCCCCCACCCCTCTGGGGGTCCCTATGAGGCCTCCTCCAACCCCTTATAGCCTCACCCAAACCACCGGT